ATAACAATTAAAATTTTACTTCACTGCCTAATTACTGAATACATTATTTGTTATTTAGACTTATGATTTATTATTTATTTAAGCATTGAACGCTCCACATGTGATATTTAGTCCACATGTCTTTTGTTCAGTTCCTTTTTTTTAGATATGAGTTATGTTGTAATGCACTAAATTGCTGTTGAAATATAGCCCATCTTGCTAGCCTTTTAACTGAGACAATTAAAGTACCACAGGCAGAAATTAGGGCCCTGAGCTTGCAATCTTATAGACTTGGCAATTAATTTAGTGGTTAGCATATTCCATACCAGATCTGACAGGTCACTGACCTCACTGTAATTTAAGCAAACTTTTTCTGTGATGTATAAGCAAAGGTCTAAACTACAAAGTGTATCTGTATGACGGGATCACTTTGCTCTTTTACATGTACAGTTGCCTACTGCTATATTGTGTCTGGGAGATTAACTTCTGGGCTTTGTCTTATGTGTGAACAATCAATGAGAACGTGACCTGTTTAAAGCAGGTTGTCGGGGTTATATTGGAGGGCTCCTGGCATTGAGTGCAATGTTTTCATTTACAAATGCAAGAGACAAATGAAAGACTATTTATAATGTAAATTACTCACATTTGACACTCCAGGTTGTGAGAGAAATAATGTATAATTCATCAATACACAGGTTAAATTAATATATAATCCAGCTATAATCCAGGGTGAGCACTAATACACCAGTCAAGTTCAGAGTTCAACCAAATGTAATCTTCTTTGTGTTTGAAATGCCACTGCTCAGGCCTCCAAATAATAAGTGTTTTCTTTTTTTCTAATTTCCCCTACTCTTAGGGCTGAAATGATGTATCGAGTTATTTGAATACTTTGATTACTAAAAAGTATTGACACATTCTTTGCATCAATGCTTCATTTTAAATCCATTTAACTATATACTATATAGGGCACACATGGACATTTATTACTGTCGCACATCGCGCTTACACTGTGATCAAGTTAAATCGATGTGATTTGATGGCGCTATTTGCAAAGTGGAGGAAGAGAGAGAAAATAGTGAAGGACAAAGAAGAGACCGGCCAGAAAAAAACACAGGAGAAGACCAAATTTTGAGATTATTTCAAGAAATCGATTGAAGGAGGTTTAAATTAAGTAGGTTAGGTATTTACGGCATCTAATATCAGTTAATATCAGTTGTTAAACTGGGCACAGGGAGGAAACAAGGCACACAAATTTGCCAATAGAGGATTCCCGTCTAGATAGGAACACAGTGTGTGTGTGTGTGTGTGTGCGCGTATGCTTTTTAACTGTGGAGCTCAAGGGCCTATCATAACAGTCTGCACTGGGGCCCATTGTTACTACCTTAGGCTACTGCTCAGCTGCAAATGTAAATGTATAAACTTACTTGATGAATTGATTAAATAATTTGTAGAATACTCGATTACTAAAATCATCATTAGCTGCAGCCCTATCTACTATATTTAAATTTTACAGTCAGTAAAATTGAACTTCTTGTTCCGAGTCTGTCTCTGTCCAGCAATTGTCTGACCAAAACCAAAATCATAATGAACCTGAAAATGTATATTGCTATAAATGAGTCAATTATGGGTGTTTCCCTAGCATGGCTAAAAATGGAAAAATCATTTCCCCTGCCATGCTGATGGTGTCTATATTTTCATAAATCAGAGAAAAGAACGTAGAAAACAGGATCCTTTCTTACACGTTGACTGAAATTTTTGGTTAAAAATTGGCTACACCACCGAGCCTTGTCTCCAGTTGATGATCCCCCTTTCTACTCCTCTTTGAGCTGCCTTCTGCTGTTTACAGGTATTTTTTTCTTTCATGAGTGATTATGATTACTTCATAAGGGTGCCCACTTCACACTGCCTGACTTGGGTTCTATTTCTGTCCTGCAAGTGGGTGCTGCACACCTGACTGCTGGATCCTTAATGTCTGTCACTTGAGTATCATCTCTAGCCTCACCTCTGAGAGGCTAAATATACATGGATAACTTTTACTATAGTACGCTATTCTATTAAAACAATATGGGGCTAAGGGCTGTACTTCCATGTATCCAATCAACATTCTGTTTGTCATTCATTCAGATTTTAATCAAATTACCTTTGTTGACATTTAATCTGATTTTATCTTTCTTTTTTACAGTAGGCTTCAGTTTTCGATTTGTTGAGACAGTTTTAGAGGGGTGTTGATTCAACTTCATGGTCAGAGGCTGCAGTATGTGGTACTTTTGAACTGTATTGCTTTTTACTGAGAGATTCTTTAAATATTTAATTTACCCTCAGAGATATTTACTAATTCAGTCAATTATTGCTGTGATTCAAGATGCATCCTGGGGGTAGTGCATAAGCTCACCCTTTACATTGAAGCCGGGGTAAGTACTTGAAATAAAAATTGGCAAAGGTGCAGGGTGTGCTGGTTTACCCGCTTCAATGTGGAATGGTGGAGGCAAAAACTGGTGTGGATGACAAAACACATAAAATACGATAACTGGTTAAGAGAAAGATTGCTCCATACAGAAAAAAAATAATTTTATTATGTCTTCCCCAGGAGCATGCATTTGTTAAGGGTTCAAAATGTCCCTGTATGTTGCTATAAATGCTTTTCTAAAGTTGTCCAAAAACATGTGCAAGCTTAACTAAGCATTCTTCATCAATATTGAACTTACGTATTACAATAATATATGATTTTTAACCTATATGAAGGGATAGAACCAGGGGGCATGAAAGGGGGCATGAAAGGGTCTGAGTGTTGGAAATAGTCTTTATCATTCAACAAACATTTTGCATGCCAACTTTACTTTAACTTGAAGGGATGAATAAATATGCTTTTTGTTTTACTCAGTGTCTGTCCAGTTTATGCTTACAGTATATCCTATTCTAATGTGTCCAGCATCCTTTATAAGAAACTGCAGCAGTTTCATTAGTCATCTCATCTTCATATGACCTCCTCACCGCTAACTACTTAGATTTGCTAATAATTACTGTCCCATAGTGAAGCTAAGTGTGAAATAGCAGCCTGCCATAATTCCTACCTCTGCTGCCAAGCGGCGGTAAACTGCGTTGTTATAAAACACATCTGAAAAGCTGAAAATGTTCTAACTGCCTTAAGTGCCACTTGAACCCTACAGGAATCAAATGCCTCAGGTAACACATTCTTCAGTGCAAAGATATATGCATTAGCAAGGTCCAAAAATATTACATGAACATCCCGCTGCTCTTGTGTAGCTGACTGAGGTGTTGATGTGAACTTGCTAGCCCTTAGATAAATGCATGCCTTTGCTTTCAACATTAAATTTCAGGCTGTAACATTTTTGTTGCCACCGGCTGCGTTATTAGCTACACTGGAGGACACAACCACCACCAACATTACAAATGCCTCCTAACACACAAACACCACCTTAACACCTTGTATCCTTCTTTGCCTGAGGTGTACGGGGCTGTTCCATTACTCCCATATGAAGTGCATCTCATACAACATTTCATGGCCCAGATGAGGCCAGAAATCGTTGCAGCGGTGAGACGAAGCTGTATTTCATGGAAAACAGCGACAATATTCTAATGTGAAAACATCATAACAAATAGTTAAGCTCCATACAGCTTGATAAATATGTTGATATGTTTTACCTCTGAGTTTCCTTCAAATGATAGATCTGCAAAAGTAAAAATGTTGTCTCACCTGATTCAGAAAAAGCACCCACTCTGGTTCATTCTGCTTGAAAAAAAAGGTAAAAGCTCTTATAGTTGAGGGAATCACACCAGCAGAGTTTAGAGTGGAGTAAAAGTGCATTATATCAACAGGAAGAAGTCCTGCTTAGACATGAAATTGACTCCTGCTGTTTGCAACTTCTTCCACTCAGCGGGAGTCCTTCAATCTAAAGAGCCTGGGGTGTCCAAAGCCCTCCTTTCCTTCTACTGTTGGAACTGCATCCTAAACAAAAATACCACTGGCCTGAGAACAGCAAAAAAATGCAACAATGCATTCAAAACAGCAGTTATTTGCACCAGCTTTTGGATGGTGTACAATATATGTTTTTATTTAATAAATTAACAAAATAGAACACAGCATTTTACGTTTGAAGGCTGAGGCTTGTAGTACTCTAGTTTAATAGCTCTAAGCACTTAGCTAGTGTTGGTTACTAAATGCCCTGCCTGCTTATGAAAACTCAAAATCAAAGCACTACATTATCACTTTGACATTATGAATGCATGTATTTCAACATGGATTTATTAATAATTCATAATGCAGCTTTGCTTTTGATTCAGTTTAGCATCAATAAACATAGCTGGCTAAAATGGACATTTTGCCAGAATCGCTTTCAGTAGCCAGTCCAATTGATTCAGCTGATTATTCTGTGAGGAAAAAGTTACAGCGTGGATGTAGATTTACACAAATAACTGCCACAATACGCATATTTATTCCATGACACATCTTGAACACATTTGTCACTGGAAATAATTAATTGCAAAACCTGTTTAGAGAGGAGGCACTTTGAAAGCTAGTACTGCTATTACATAAAATTTATGTGATGTTCACTTTAATGAGCATTTACCCTGTATTACAATGAGGTGTTGAAAGAAATCTGGGGAAAGCATTGTTATCATGCTTTCAGAACTGAACTTGATTGAATTTAACCTTTTACATTTACATTTACATTTACTCATTTGGCAGACGCTTTTATCCAAAGCAACTTACATTTGAGGAACAACATACAAGCATCAACAGAGCATCAACTACAGATACAATACAACTGACAATACATACTAGTAAGAGCAGCAATAAATACTAGTAAGAGCTCACAGTACATATCACATCAATGGGGTAAATACCAAGGGAAGGAAGTAAGAGTTAACAAAAAGTGCAATCAAAACAAAAAGTGCAGTCAATACAAGATCATTGTAGGGGATAGAAGAAGAAAAGCACAGGAAGTGCATGTTAGAGGTTAGGAGTTAGAGGTGTTATAAGAGGAAGTGTGAATTTTCAAGAGCTTCTTGAAGTTAGAGAGGGACGCCCCTGCTCTGATGCCGTGTGGTAGCTCGTTCCACCATCGTGGTGTCACAGATGAGAATAGCCGGGACTGGGATTGCTTTGTGTGAAGGGATGGCAGAGCCAGGCAGCGTTCGTTGGAGGAGCGTAGCGGCCAAGAAGGAACGTAAGTTTGTATTATGGAGTTTAGGTAGATGGGTGCAGACCCAGTAGTCACTCTGTATGCAAGCATTAGTGACTTGAATTTGATTCTGGAGGCCACGGGGAACCAGTGGAGGTCACTGAGTAATGGAGTGACATGAGTCCTTTTGGGCTGATCAAAAACCAGACGCACTGCTGCGTTCTGAACCATTTGTAAGGGTTTCACCGTACAAGCTGGAAGACCTGCTAGGAGGGCATTGCAATAGTCGATGCGAGAGATAACCATGGCCTGTAACAGAAGCTGGGTGGCGTACTGAGTGAGGTATGGCCTGATTTTCCTTATGTTGTATAGAGCAAAGCGGCATGACCGAGAGACAGTAGCAACATGGTCTGAAAAGGACAGCTGGTCATCAATCATGACACCCAAGTTTCTCACCACCTTGGTTGAAGTGATGGTTGCGGAGTCAGTTTGTAGTTTGATGTTATGGTGGATAGATTGCTTGGCTGGAATGACCAAGAGTTCAGTCTTAGAGAGGTTTAGTTGAAGGTGGCAAGCCTTCATCCATGCAGATATGTCCGATAGACAGTCCGTGATCCATGCCGAGACAGTGGGATCGCCTGGCGGGAAGGATAGGTGGAGTTGCGTGTCGTCTGCGTAGCAGTGGTAAGAGAAGCCGTGCGAGCGAATGATCGGCCCCAGTGAGGTGGTGTAAATTGAGAAGAGAAGGGCCCCAAGCACTGAGCCTTGGGGCACCCCTGTGGAGAGGCAGTGGGAGGAGGATAATTGTCCTTGCCTCAAAACATTGTAGGAACGCCCTGAGAGGTAGGATTCGAACCACAGGAGTGCTTTACTTGAGATGCCCATTGCTGAGAGAGCGGATAGCAGGATCCTGTGGTTGACTGTGTCAAAGGCAGCTGATAGGTCAAGCAGGATAAGCAGAATCTATTAACTACTGCTGCATTTCAAATATGGACAGGGCTATGTGGCTTTTTGTTTTGATCAATTCCTTCATTTTGTCCCTCTAAAACTGATAGTGAGTGAAATTATTCTTAAATTCAAGGACTTTTCATTGGAAAAGTACATTACTGGTTGTTTGCTAAGTACAGAACTAATTTCTGCTAAAGCAGCCAAAGCCTGCTGCAATACTTTAATTAGTTTATCATGTATATGTCTAACAGCTATAAATTTAAGTGCCAAGTAAGAACGTAAGTACATCAATATTCATGATTTCTTACAATGCTAAACTAAACACATTATAATAACATCATTCGTTTTATTGCCATTACTTTCATTTAACATTTCCTTGGGCATCTCTGAATCTTCCGTTATTATATTCATATGTCATTAAAATAACTCTCAAATCAATTTACCAGTTTGTTTTCACTCATAATAAAGTATGTTCAATAACCCTTAAAAGGCATCACAAAAGCTACAGTACAATACTAAGTGAAGACATTACACTTGCTGCACTTGCACTGTTGTTTTACAGCTATACCAAATTAATGAACATATTTATGCCATTTAGTTGTATCTGCCCCTGATTTTGTTTTGCTTAATTTTAAATTTAAACTTCAGCTGTGCTTTGTGTTTTTCCTTTCTTTCATTTTTGTGAGTTCTGCTGCTTTTTGCAATTAAGATGCAGCACAATCAGTCTGTCACTGTCAGCTCAGAATAGCAAAGGCAGAGTGTATGAAAGTGGGGTAGTCAGCATGAGAAAAATGGTTTTGTGATGCATCTTTTGTATCATGCAAGAAGTGTCATTTAGAGGTCAACAAGCCCACTGTTACAACATACAAAAAGGTATTGTATTTTAGTCATGTATAGAAATACATGATTATACACAGCCCACATGTGTGGCACATTATAATGTGGTATGCTCGCTAACCTCCTTTTGCCTCTAGCAGTGGTGGATGAAGTATTTAGATTCTTTACTTATGTAAAAGTTTTAATACCACAGTGTAAAAGTAATCTGTAACAAGTAGAGGTTCTGCATTTAAAAGTAAAAGTATGTAAGTATAATCAGGAAAATATACTTAAAGTATTTAAAGTAGAAGTACTTAATGCAGAAAAATGTCCTCTGCGACTGTTAGTACTAGTACATATTATATCATGAGATTATTATTTATTATTATGCATTCATACAAAAGCAGGGTTTTACTGTTGTAACTGTTGAGGTAGAGCTCACTTTGAATTATGTTGTATCGGACTGCAGTTAATGATTATTTTCAATATGAATTTATCGGCTGATTATTTTCTCCATTAATTGATTGACTGTTTGTAGAAGTGACACCTACATAATGCTTTGTACTTAAGTACAATACTTCATCCTCCACCACTTGCCTGTGGTGGAGGATGCGACCCTTCTACCAAAATGCACAAATAATAATTAAGCATGTCATAACTCACTCACCACACTAGACCACCAAAATATAAGTGCAAAACAGACGTTAAAGGGAAAAAAAAAGAGGTTTTGACTATAGCGCTCATCAGAACAGATCATTACAGGCAAGAAAGCTTGCAAAAATTGAATATTTAAGTTTACCGGACACTTCAAACGCGTTAATAAACATGTTTAAATAGACAAACATGCCCCAAGTGCAAAGACTTTGCAGTAAGAACCTCTCCAATAAATATTCTGTGTTTGTGTCTGGCCATAAGGTCCTTAAGTTAAAGGCGCAGAGAGTTTCAAAAGTGTGCGACTGAACAGATGCAGTTGCCTGGCTGCTTATTTTAGTTCCTCGCAGTGGATGTTTTTCCCATCTCTGTTCTTCCAGCGCTTTATGCCAATGATCTGAAATCCAGCATACATAAGTAAATCTAAGGCAAACTTTTATTTTTGAAGATTTGGAGATGGAAAGTCGTGAATAGGGAAAAAAATATATGGTATTTGTGTTATATTGTGAGTCTGAAATGTGAAAATCTTGAAATGGTGGTTTTTCATGACTTGCATAAATACAATCCAAAATCAGATGATTCAACATGAGTCAGTTTGCTTAAATGATCATATAACACCTGATTTTGTATTTGATGTAACTGTTTGGAAATATCGTCATCGGTGATATTTATCTTTAATCTATTATTCATTATTAAAGTACTACTTTCATGAGAAAAAAACCCTTCTGCCTCTTCCCCGGCTTTGAGTCATAAACATTTTGGTATTCTAGATGCTTAGTTAAAAATAAAGTACATTTTGCACTGAATTATAAAATACATGACGTAGAGTACTGGGGGGTAGGTCATTATCCAGAATGAACATACACTCTTGTGGGACATTTATGTCTGGTTTTTGCTTAAATCATCATACAGAAGGAATGACTTGAATTTTCATCACGTACATAACTCATCTTCTTTGCAAAAGACATTAACTGGGCTTGCTGTAAGGCAGAAGCAGCTGTGTTTTATAATGCAGTTTGCATTCTCTGTTCCCCATTAAATCCATTCCTCGGGACAGACTTCAACTTGTGACCTCTCTATTAGGCCTTGTGCACCCGGCCTGGTGATTAGAGGAACATTAGGAAATTAAAGGCAAATTGCATTACCAGAGAAACAGATGGAGGTGCTGCTGAGGCCCCAACATGCAGGACATGGAACCTGCTGATGCTCAGACTTTCCACCCTTTCATTGGCCAATCTAAGACGCTTAATGTCACCCCCAAGTAGCAATTTCTCAGGTGGCACATTGTGATAAAGGATATGGCCTATTAGTTGTGTCAGAGTGTTTTAATCTTGAAGTTTGGTTAGGTGTATGGAAAGATGTTTCCATGTTATTTCAGCCCTCAAACTGCTTGAGCATATTAATTAGATGTGAATAACTTCACAACACGCTGCATCTGTGTTTACACACACTCTGGGGTTTTGAGGAAATATATTCTATTTTAAGCCAATAAAAAATGTGATGATGCAGCTGAAGAAAATGTAGATTGACCTCCAGGAGAATGAATTTGTTCACTCGGCGTGGAAATACATGTAGTAAGCATTTCGCCGACAGGTATCATTTTACCACTTATCAAAATCCAAAATTTAGTAGGTTTTCTTCAAGTAATTGGAGTGCATGAGACAAAATATAAAGACGCAGGTTTCAGTGAGGAAAGTGCTTGACCAGTCTTTCAAATGATTAATCTCTTTCAGTCTCATATCCTCCCCACCTCGACCTTGTGTACCTCATGTAGGAGGCAAACTATAAATTGCTACATCTAATATACATAAACACGTTAAGTTGCATTTAGTGCTCTTGATTTTTTTGGAAAGGTGTCACATTTTGTCCTTAAGATAGTCCTATTGCTTCAGCAGTGGTTTTTAATTCATAAGAAAAAGAGGTGCAATTGGACAATTTAAAGGCATAATATATAGTTTCAATTCCATTTGACCTAGCTATTTGAAGAGCAGGACTAGATTTCAACCACGGTCATAAATTAGGAAATAAAAGCACCTACAAGTTTAGCCTACATAATTTATTCCCAATTTTCTCCCCTGATTGTCTAGTCTCCTTCTGGGATAGCTTGTGAGACATATTAATATTTTAAATGTTGGCCCAATAGAGATAGGGCTCGTTGCTCATCCTCAGATGACATAGGCATGGTAATGAAAGGTGACCTTTGAGCTTCGGATGTGAGAGCCTGTATCACATGCACACATACTGAAGGAGAAGGTGCTTTTTATAAATGATTTAACGTGGGCATACACATGGCAAGGTTTATTTCATTCAAACAAAATGCTCCCATCTTCCTGTTATGCAGCATGTATTTCTCTGCATGACTGTGCTCTTCAAAATGGTGTTGCTGCCTAGTTTCCTCCTTAGACTCACAAAGAACAGAATATCTCACGTCGTATAGATCTGTGCTTAGATCTCTGTTACATTTCACAGAAACTAATAAATATGTATTTTTTTGTATTCTCACTCTTGGCCCGGTGCTCAGTGCCTGGAGACATGGGAGTTGTACTGATGCTTTGACAGTGTGACAGGTTTACTGCTTTAGGATTGTCAGATGTCTATCTTGCCAAATATTGTCCTCAGTATCTACTCAGAGATTTCCCCCGAGACCACGTCTTCACAAATACCAGGCCCACGTCAGGAGCACCACCAAGTTGACATTTGTAAACAAATGCCAGGGATTAATGCAATTATGGCTTCCATTATATATATATATATTTACACCATGGTTTACACACGGTAGCTCCGCCTTAATCTTGAGAAGCTGCAGAGCTGCAGTCTCCATTCAACTTACACTGTAAATTTCCAGCTACACTGAAGCTTTTTGAAGACCCTTCTCTCTCTCTCTCTCTCTCTCTCGCGGTTCCTCGTGGGTCTATTTCAAGTAGCCTGCTATTTAAAAATGATGAAATATTCTTTGTGTGGTTCGTCAACGGTGATAAATTAGTTCCTTAATTAAATAAGTTCCTCGAGGTGCGGACAACTCGGCACAACACCAGTGAAGCCGGGTCTCAGTCTGTTTAGCAAGTGTTCCTCTTTCGCCACCACACACACGCTACGCCTACACATGCGCACTGACAACCCAGGGTTAGGGTTACAATTTTGGATTTATTTATGCACTTTTAAAACATTTATTGAATTTTTTTTTCTTTTTACATGTTCATTTACAGCATTTAACGTTGAAATGTATATTGTAATGGGCTGTATATTAACTTATTGGGAGAAAACTGGTAGTTCTATGTAAAATCAGCACCCCCATATCGCCAAATGACATGTTCCTTGTTTCACTGCGAAGCTTCTACTGTGAGATTGACTGTCGAATCAGGCTCCGCCCATCGAAGCATGGAATCTTCGACTACTGGGGGTCATCCCTAATAAATAAATAAATAAATAAATAAATAAATAAATAAATATATATATATATATATATATATATATATATATATATATAGAGAGAGAGAGAGAGAGAGAGAGAGAGAGAGAGAGAGAGACATGAGAATAGATTCACACTGTAAAGCGTGGGTTTTGAAACATGTGCATGTGACACACTGCTAAGAAAAGACTTAAGACTTAAAATCCTGTTTAGGATGATGTATGTCTAAAATGCTCTTCCACAATAAACGATACATTTTTTGGCCACTTTAAGGCAGAAGAACACCACAATAAATTGAAGGATACATAGCCTGGCATTATCACTTCAGAGAGTTGTTAGGGTTTAGTAAACATCTTAGCAAACAGTCACCTATTTACACACCCAGGAGACAAACTTTAGAATCCATTTGCAGTCCTGTTCTTTCCTTGAAAAATGTAAGCCCAAAATCGATCTACTTTTTTAGCTGCATTGCAGTCTACACTAACTGTTCTTAAGTCTGCTAGATGTTCAAATTTCTCAACTACAGTAAATTCGTCTATCTGCTGTTTGATGCTGTGCAGCTACTTCTAGTCTGTGTAGCTTATTTTCTGATGCTGGTGAGACTGGTAAATGAAACTAAAGGTGATTTTAAATAGGATTACAATATGTATGTTTATATTGCGTTTTCTGTTATTGTTATTGTGAAATTAAATATAACCAATTTCATCAGAATGTGTTACTTGCTCTAAAAAACAAATCTATACCCATGGGCTTTAAAACCAAATCTATGAACCAAAAGAAGCTAAATGTTTTGCAGAGACTTTTAATTCTACGTGGGTTTGTCATTGCAAGTAACCCCTTTCACATTGTACACACTAATGTATTTTGATTTTGTCTAGAAAATCTACCATATCAGGTATATAGGAATGCTGCAAATAATGTAAGCATAGCTTACTCTATATACAGCAGGAATAAATTGTTCAGCTAAAACACACACAACCCATCCAGCCACTAGTGCAGCATGAACAGTGTGGACAGTGAGCCTCAACACCGGTGAGCATAGAAGCTCATATTTTATAAACAAAGTGGATGTTCCTACTGTGAGAGCATAATTTAGTGATTTCAGAATATCTAGATGGATCTAGGCCTACAATTTCAACAATTATACAGTAGTGAACAGTAGGGAATATTATTCATTTATTTGAGTGTATGTTACATATTTATCTCAACACCTTATGTGACAATAGTGGGGACTTGAGACTGAAGTCCAATTTCAATCAGTCTCTGTCTGTGCACTGTATATTCAACCTTAGTTTTGCATCTCTATGAGTGCACTGAAAAATACATTATATCCACATCTGCTCCACTAATCCATATGGGAAATAATGAAAAGACTGTCAGGTTAAAGAGAGGCTGTCAGAATTGTTACTTGGCTTATTTTACACTCTGGAATATATTTCTCATGTTTGAGTGAAACAGATTGTCTCACACAGCTACAGGCAACACCCATAGCTTGTGCAGTGAAAGATGAAGTCATTCTATATCACAGCAGTTGTGGTAGTTACCTCTCCAAAATCTCCCAGCTGAGTAACATTGTCATTTTGTCACTCTGTATGTTACTAAATAATCATTCTGCTTTGATGCAACACAGGAAGAGAACTGAAGTAAGACATATTTTGAAAGCAGCAATTTATATCCGTGTTTTTGAACATTGAAATGTGCACTTAGACTTCTTCTCTTGTTTTCTTTGTTCTGTCTTATTCCATGTTCATCAACCCTTCTTTTATTTTAATTTCTGGTGAGCCCAGAAAGACAGGCTTTGATAATGATGACTGAACCAGTATGTGGGTTTCAAGCGGCCAAGTTCCCATAGACAATTCTTCCTCTCTTTCTCTGTTCATGATTAGGTAGCTGGCACGTGGCAACTCGAATAGTGCCCAGAAATTTGATTGTGTTAATGCGATTGGGGTGAGGTCAGGGACTGCAAAGACCCATGGTAATCACCACACAGGGATAAGTGACAGCTTCAAAGTAAATCAAACTGAAAAGACCTCTTCTCTTCTCAACATGTCCCTGCCTTGATTTGAAGCCATTTAATGGGGTTTTAAGACACATCACAGGACGTTGTTTACTGCTTTCTCTTTCTTCCTCTTTCTTTTTCTCTGACTCTCACACTCAGAGTGTGTGTGTGTGTTTGTGTGTGTGTGTGTGTGTGTTTGTGTGTGTGTGTGTTGTGTGTGTGTGCGCGCGTGTGTGTGTCCTCACTGTTGTTGATCTTGGTCAAGAATTTTGGTACTTTTCCAACACATATTCCAGTGCATAATGCCATTGTATTAAAGCATTAAGTCTATATCTGTCCCAGAGAACCATCTAATAGCCAATTTCATGCAAGAATGATGAAGACAAAAGTGGAGGGTTATTAGTGGAAAGGAGAATAGTTTGGTGTCACACCTCAGCGATCTTTGATAAGAAGTGAACAGGGATAACTATAGGCAGTGGTGGAGCTGTAAGACAGTGGCAGTGGCTCCTTCTGTCTTGGTGATAAAGTAAACAAACCCACAACAAGGCAAAGGCATGTCTTTCAGATTAATACACACGCACACAAAGAAAAGGGATTGACAGTCTTATTTTTGTTGGAGCTTACCGACGCTGAGCTATGGACCAGGTTGACATTTCAAATGTTTACATCAAAGCATAAACGCTGTGCCTTCCTGGATGACTGGTACACCCATTAGCCTCTTTACATGTGTCAACATTTCCAGGAAGAGCACACAGAACAAAGAACCACACAGTTGAGGGTACTTAAAAAGGAGGTTCCCTTTTCAAAGACAAATTAAAGAAAAAGGAGAATAAGCATTTAACAAGTGAGAGCCACTTATTAAGAGCTTTTCAATTTTCCTCTGAGAAAAATGCTTTGCTCTTCCACCCCTATCCCAAATGGTTTGATGTCTGTCTGATATTGAATAAGCTATCTTTTTGGTCACATTATTACTTGGCACACAGTGCATCTTAGCTGATCTGATCATAAGCAAAGAGCTCTACATAAATTGAGAGCACAAAGTGAGAGAAATATAAACAGCGCAGCTGGTGTTGTTGCATTTATGTCCGATCACAAAGAATGGGCCTTGTATCAAATGAAATACAGTATTTATAGGGTAAATTTGATCAAATCACTCATGAGTCTAACTCCATGTCCAGACCACAAATGTCACGTCAGCTTTGTGTTAGTGTGACAACAGCATTCCCGTGGCACTTAATCGACTGCCTATACTGGTTCTATCTTGTCGATGCATTTCTAAGTGTCAAGAAGCAAAGGAGCAGACAAACTCTCTGCAGTTTTCCCCATACCCATAGACTATTGTTTAGAAAGGAATTTGCTGTCATAACTATAAAAACTATAATGTTACCATATCTTTGCAGTAGTCTCCATTTTTGGAATCTTTACATAATTTATTAGCTGATTTTGTGTGTCATGGACAGAGCTAGCTGTAAACAGAAGAAGAGCACTGTTGTTATTACACCTTCGAGTCCGAAGATGAAGAGCAAGGTAGTGGGTCCACCCTATCGATCAGAGGAGATGAAAGCATGGGAATTTTTACCACCTGGTGTCGGAGCTGCGTCTGGACAGTGAGCGCCACCACCAGCACTTTCGCATGAGTGGCCAGCATAATGGATAATCTATTATCTGTTATCGGCAGACAACTCCAGAGGCAAACTACAAACTAGAGGTGGCCCACTGAACCCAAGCAAAAGCTTGCTGTTGCAGTCAGGTAAGATGATGTTCTAGGCATGTATTCTGTTCATTCCCAATAACAATAAAGTATAGGAACATCAATCCAGATAATAGCTTCCTTAAGAATAGATCATTTATATAATATGGTTCTCAACCAAAAACAATGTATGTGCTGAAAGGCAGGAACTTGGGCAAGAGTGGAGGAGGATGACTGAATTTCATCCAGCAAATTTAAAATCCTGTTTTCGTCTCCTATTTACCTTTTCAAACATTGGGTAAAGAAGTGCATTTCTTCCTCATTGGTTGGCACAGGCTGTTCGGATGGTGGTTTTTTAACAATTTCAAGCAGCATTTGCTCCACTCTATCCAGTGCACTGCCTGCCGTGCAGAGGTGCAAGGAGTTCTGCTAAAAGGCCGCGATGATGTTGGCACCCTTCCACTATCTGCCTGGCTAGGTGTGCTTTGCCTGGCACCCTGGGGATTCACAATCAGGTACTGCGGTGACTTGCTTCTCTGTGTCCATCAGTGGAGCTGTGGTGGCCCACTCCAGCTCGAATGGTGTTGAAGCAGATGATCTGCTTTCCTCCAGAACTGCTGATCCAGATGATTTACTTTCTCATCCACACCCTGTTGTCCACTGGGGCCCAGAGAGTCTCTGGATGAGGTGTTTGGCTGCAGGTTGCTTTTAGAGCCAAAACAAAATGTTGATATGATTATTACCAATACATACATACATACATGCGTTGAGAAAGTGAGATACAGAGAAAGAGGTGGGTTTGTATATATTTGTTATATTTTTATATTGAACTGAATTATGATTAAAAATATTCTGGTGTCTCAACTCATAAAGAAGGCATTTACCTTAGTGACTGGAGACAGGGCAGCACATCACCTGGGTGTATTTCCACTCTTTTGTGTCTGCCCCTGACCCACTTGGCATGTTCTTTTTTGTTTCAGACAAGTCTATATGCTATTTCCATCTAATCTTGCAGTCATCCGCAAAATAAACAAAAAGGGTGAATACATGCATAATTAACCATTTTTTCTAGGGTTCATTGCTACAGACCTGTAAACAACTGTACGACTACTACATAAGCTAGCTGCTATCACATAAAAACAATGTATTTCCATCACAAGGTACTCACCTGTTGCTTGAAGCACTGCTGCAATGGCGCCTTTCTTGGTATTGTCTTTGTAGAATGCATGTTTTGGGGCATACAACACTTTGTACATCTCCACTTCTGCTATCAAGTCCACATCTTCCATGATTGATAGGCTATGGGGGGGTGAGCTTTGTTTGAGTCCGAGCAAGTCAACCTTAATTATAACCCTGTAGACACGGATAAAGTGTGAGAGAGGAGAGAAGACAAGAGACACCATAAGGAATCAAGAGGACTGACAAATAAGCTCCAGTCTATGACCAAACTTAGTCGAAATCAACTAAATCAAAGCAACTTAACCTCATCAGGCAAATTAACCATATAAGCTTATTAAAGTTATCATAACACTGCTATAAAAGAATTTTAGCATGGTGTTCGGAACAAGGCATAATTGTCCTAGTACGTTTCATCTACATCATCTACAACTTCAAATTGCACATTGACTTCATTCTAAAAAAATCTATGGCTGTTTAAGGTCTCTTTACTGATCAATACACTGTTTTACATTTCATTATCTCCCAATTAATACTGCCGATTATAGATTATGCTGATATTATGTATATGAATACCACTGACACCAATCTTAGGCCTCTTAATGCTTTTTTAATTGTCTTTGTAGATTCGTCATGAGGTGTCCATTTAACACTCATCACTGCTCTATGTATGAGTCGCTTAACTGGTTACAGCCTAAAGTAAGAGAAGAATTTCACTGGATAAAGTTTATTTTAATTTTCAAATGTGTTTACTTTAACTGTCCTCCATACTTGAAACAATTTTTTGTTCCTTGTAGAGTTTTACATCCACTCAGACAGATGCAACATCCCTTTTTTATTGTACCAAGAACTTTTACTGTAACCGGATGGAAATCATTTCAAAATAAAGCACCATGTGATTGGAATAATCTTCATCCTACCCTAAGTTCGTACCTTAGTACCCTAAGCAGTTTTCGCTCCTTCTTGTCGTCTCGGCTCTGTCTCTTAAAACAGGATGTTCATGTTATTAATGTTATCAGGTATAATTACGTTGGTTTGTAATACATTAGGCTGACACATTGATAGTAATAACTTGAATTGTTTTTGGGTGGAATGTTAGCAGATTTTTCCATTGGTATAATTTAAGTTATTGGATTGTTATTTTTCCTTGCATTAACTGAGGGTGTTGGGCGTGGGTGAGAGTGGGTGTGCGAGTTATCTGTATGTGTGTAGGTGTACTATATGTACAGTAGTTGTAGTAGTTGTATTTGTTTATTATATATTTGTGTTATAGGACCCCCTTGAAAATGAGATGCTGCAACTACAGGGGTTATCCTTAAACAAATATATTTCAATATATTTCAATTTCTTGTTGCTGTTTTAAGCAAATTTTTAACAAAAGCTTTCAAAAAGTGATGGAGACATTCAGATTCTGACATGTCCCCAGTATCCTCAGTCTGTCAGTATTTTTAAATGTCCTGCCCCATCCAGGCTGCCATTGGTTGGTTCACGACAAGTGACATTGACGAGCTACATTCAGCACAGGGCTGCTTGAAAGACACCCGAGCTTCTTTTCTCCCTCGTCTCTCCGCCGACAGAGATTAGCAGGCAGGCTAGAATGGGAGCAGGTGAGCGTCAGGTAGTGCCCAGAGAACCTGTTATGGAGAGGGCAGAGGAGAGTACCAGCAGCTTGGGAGAAGTCCCGGTACGCAAGAAAACGTCCTGGTACGCCAAAGAGTAAAATGGCAAGGTGCCGGTACTACGTACCTGGGTGTTCCGGCCCACTTCAAGCACTGCTCCAGATTAAAAACCACTATGGCTAAAGCTGTCAAATCTGAATGAGAATGTCCCAGTGAGGCTAAAGTTTCTTTAAAACATAGTTTCACATTTGTGAAACCTTTATTCTATTTGTAAAAACGATTTCACTGCATTTTTTTTTACGCATTACACACATGGCAACAGGTCCAGATCAAAAACCACTATGTATGTATATAGAGTTGTCAAATCTGGACTACATTGTCTCAGAGAAGATTTGTGAAAACATAGTTCATTGTTCAACATTCAGATTTGTGAAACCTTTATTCTATTGATGTGAAAACACTTCTAATCATGCAGATATCTCACCACAAATCCACACATGGAAACTTCAGCACATCCGTTAAAAAGCAGCACACAGTCCCAAACCAAGCAAATTTGAGCTTCAGTTTTTAGTTTACATTATTTGTTATACATTTTTTTTTTTTTACTTCATGAGAAATTTTATGTGTGGTGTGACAGCATGTAAAAAGTGTAAATTGCGTGAGTCGCCCGAGACAAGATATTCTTCTGACGAGAAATATCAGGTGAGTTTGACTTCATGTGCCGATTTGCTGGGTTCACTTAATGTAATGCATTCTGTACTTAACATAGGACACACTGGTTAGAAATGTTTTCCGACTTTCACCAGCGCTGCAAAATGTGGCCATGTCACATGATATTAAAACCTCGCGGGAGCAAGGCGGCTGCAGCTTTCTGAGTCTGGCAACCGCATTTCCTTTTCTCCAGCTACACTAAGGGGGAACCACCTTTTGCCTGAGATCAGCCATTGTTTTAAATGCACACACTCCATAGAAAGTAGAATGTGTCTGACTTGATGGCAGTTTGTTTTATACCCCATTGGATTCGCCGGCAACTCACGTTTGACTATCAAGTCAGAAAAAGTCAGGCGCGGTCATCTCAAATGCACCCAGTGTCACATCTTAATCCTGTGGCATGAGATCTCATCATAACCCTAGTGGTTTTTGATCTGGACCTGCTGTAATGTGGGTTACGTGCAAAAAAAACTGAAATTGCCCTTTTTGTTATTTCCACAAATAGAATAAAGGTTTCACAAATCTGTAACTATATTTCAAATAATCATTAGCTTCTCTGGGACTATATAGTCCAGATTTAACAGCTCTAGACAAGGTGGTCAACAAACATACATGCTTCTTTTTTTTCATTTTCACAAATAAAATAAAACAACACACCATGCATGCGTTACACAGCAACAACTCAGTCAGTCGTCAGTCAAATCAGTCGTTTGTTATTGAAACACCAAGCCTTTATTTACATAAAAATCCCTGTCATGGATAGGTGGTCTATGTCTTGCATTCTTAAGGGCAGGAGCCAATCATAACTAGCCACTGTCATTCTAGTGTAGTCTGAAGGCAGATGTGTGTCTGACCTCTTTGAAGAAAAGCACAAAAGGAACCATAAGTGGTCACTTAAGATGCATTTGATTCACACTGGTACCAGGTCTTAACGGCAATCTGCTTCAACGTAATCTGGACATGGTTTTAGTATAGCTGGTGCAGGACAGTAAGCATGAAGAAGGCCTATGTCTTAAATTTTCTAACTGATTAGAGTACATTCACATGTGGATGTAAGCGCAGCAGAAAGTCGAGGTGAGGCAGTGGATGTCTGTCTCAGCCTCTTCTCTGAAATGAAGACCAATCCTTTTCATCTTTTCAGAAGGCAGTAACCATCATGATCAATGCAACACAATGCTTTGCTTTAAAGGGCTCTTTCTCAAAGGGGATTAAAGCCATAAATGAGTACATGAGTAAATGAGAAGGGCCAAAACCTTCCTTTGATCTGTTACAATCTACGGACACAGAATAAATATCAGAGGAAGTTATGTAGGGGTTTTATGAGCATCCCAGCAATTGTATTTGTATTCACATAACGTCTTAGGTGGGCGTGGTATGGACCTTTTGTCTTTGGAATTCCTGTATTGGGACACCATTTGCCATTATCTATCACAAATAATGTAATATACCCCGATGCTCACAAGTCATGTAGGCTTGTAACTTTAAAAAACACAGAAATAGACACATACAGCTGCTAAAAGGACAAAAACACTATGCTTGATTGGACCACCTCCAACAATTACCTAAAGCTGGGAGACATCAAACTGTCTAATTCAAACAAACATCAGTTTAGAATACTGTACTAATTTGTCTTGGAAATACTGCATATACATAGAAACTAAATAAGCCCTTCTACAACATGTAGTCTTATGATACATTTTGACTACTTATTATTATAAGGTGCATAAATGTTTGTTGATCAAAACATAAATCCTTGCATTCATTATATATCTCTGAGCTGGTGTAGGTTGATTAGCAGTAGATTTTACAAGTATATGTGCACAAGTATATATTTCTAAAGGAAGAAGGCCAATTATATAGGAAGACAATCTAATATTGTTGTTAATAGTCATGCTACCTTAGATTAGTTAGAATGCTGATACTGACTGTTTCAGACATTGTAGTGATGTAGGTTTTTGACTGAAGTACATTTTCATTATATTTCAGGCATGATAATAATACAGTTACAGTTTTGGTCCTAGATAATCAATGAGGACATACAGCTTAACTTAGGAGAGGCACAGCTTAAGCTCAATATTCTTGTGACCACGGAGCAGTCATTTGCGATCAAATTATGAGTTTTTAGAGATTAGTCAGAGTGTATGGTGGATATTATTCACCCGGCAGAAGAGTGAGAATAAGAAAAAAAGTGTTAAGAGTGTTCTGGTGTGTATTGTAGCAGAAGATGAGCTATTTAATTCTTCATAAAGTCAGAAGGTCATTCCACCATCAATATGCCAGGAGGGTGAAAAGTCAAGTGAGAGTGGTACAATGACCAGGCCAGTGCAGGAAGCAAGTCAAGCTGAGGCAGTGGAATGCGGTACAATTGCTGGTGTAAGGCGTCGGAGTGCAGCGCGAAGACACGGAGATACTTTTTCGGCTGTGTACTCCAACCACTTTAAATTCCATATTAGTTCAGTCCAAAATACCAAACCCAAAATCTGCACCATGGCAGAAGTTTTTCAACAGACGGTGCCATAAAGCAATTATTGTCTAGCCTTTCATTTTGCAGAAATTTTACATCTAGAATTACAAGAATTTTACTTACAGACACTGGGAGATCTTTTAGATTTTAACCACGGTCAAATGAGAAAATATTAAACCATTGCACAGTTAACCATGGCATACAACCACCCCGTTCTGTATAAAGTGAGTGGGCAACTCTCACTTGTACAAAGAACACCGTGAAATGCAGCTGCTGTCTGTGTGAGAGAGAGTTGACAGGATTTCAGAGCGTGGAGAAT